CCAGGGCAATACTGGAAATCTGGTCCAGTTCAAAGATTCAGTTAATCCTACACTGTATGTGCCTAGGGTCTCACCCTGGCAGCTGAGACATGCCACCCCAACCGACTTGGTGGCACAACAGTGTCAGCCTTATCAGGATAGGTCTCCCCAGACCGACCCACTGGCTGTGAACATTCTAAACTAACACGAATCTCATGAAGTGTCCAGTTTAAGGGTATTACATAGAAACATACCGGGGGAACATGAATCAAATATGCACTTTTATTCATTTGCAATAAACTCATAAAGTACATCATTATGATTGAAGCTAAGGGCATACAAAACTGTCCAACACCTACAAGCACACAAGGATCACATGATCCACAAAAAAGGGAGAAAACAAGTGTTGATCACCTCACATCAGTCACAACAACCTCTTAGAGGTTCTGTTCTGTCTTGGCACACAACCAAGAGAAAAAAAAAAAGGTGAAAAACCCTTCTGAGATCAGTCTGATACTATTTTCTGGCTTCTCCAAGAAAAAGACAGCAACTGGTGAAGAAAAGAAACCATCAAAATCTTTCTTTTAGATATAATAGACATGCTCTGGTACCATATTAAACTGAGAAGGATGAAGAGAGGAGAAGAGAAGAGAGAAGAGAGGAAGAGAAGAGAGAAGAGAGGAAGAGATGAGAAGAGATTTGAGAGCCAAAAGGTTGAGCTGGTGGTGCCAGATTTTGTATTTATATTAGGGCGACCATTAAATAAACTGAAATTACAATAGAACTCCTGCATTGCTAAACTGAACATAAAACAGTCTTTTAACATAATTATTAGCAATCTCATAAAAAAGTATAGTTTTCATATTAAAACATGGAAAATCAACAAATTCGTCGAGGAGAAAATTCAGAAAATATAGGGGCTGAACCCCTGTTTTTGTCCTAGAAAAATCATGGTAATAAATGAAACTAAAAAGATCAAAATATTTATATGTTAATGAAATGAACTGAAAATGACTGAGATTGTATACCATGAAAAAATTGAATTGAAAATGACTTTTATATGAAGCTTGAGCCTAAGACTAATAAAAATTGAATTGGTAGCCATTTGTCCAAATTTGACTTGGATTGAATATGGATCCACCATATTTGGACAAATGGATGGCACTTGTTGTACTGTCTTTATAATGACCATAGGAGTATTTGGATTTAATAAATTCTATAAATAAATAACGGTTCCAATTTTATCTTTGTCATATAAATCATTTTGGTTAGAAGCAAATTAAGCAAGGACTACAAACAAATTAATGAAAAAGCTACCATAGGAAGAAAGAAATTGGTTTTAATTTTAATAGTGTCTTAGTGTGACAAGCAAGCTGAATTAGATTCTTGATGGCTTCAAGATGCCACATTTTTCCAGTCTTCATATTATTATCTGTTATTATTTTTGTTTTAAAATTGTTATGTGCAACACACACACACACCCATAAAGTAAAGAGTTGGTCTACTATTGGGAGGGATAGTCTGAATTGAGAGGGCAGGAGGAACTGTAGAAGAAAAAGTTGGAAAGAAGGTAGTCTACCTATGTGATGGGTTTAAATCTGTGACACTTCACATAAAGTAAAGAGTTGGTCTACTATTGGAAAGAAGAACAAAACAACAATATACTGTTATTAATGCTAGGTGATTGAATGTTATTATTGGTGAGATTATAGCTTGTTCTTCTGAGTATAGATTGAATGTTATTATTTACAATGTTATATTTGCTTTTTTCCTTTCCTCTGTTTTTTTTTTTTGTTTTTTTTTCTCACAATAAGATGTGAATATAGTTGTCAAGGTGTTGCCTAGGTGACTATGCACTCTTGGCTGGTCTAGGCAACTAAGCGCCTGCATAGGTGACAAAAATGACTAGGTGGGCTCCTTATTATAATATCATTTGTATTGATAAATCTTAGTAATGTGTGTGAATACATTTTATTATATACTAATGATTTATACTTTTGTTTTAATGTTTTACCATGGAAGTTTAAATTATCAAAAGGTTTCGAGGAGAGAAGAAGAAAGAAAGAAAAAAAAAGAAAGCAATAATATAAGTATAGAAATTTTTTCTATTCTCCCTCTCTTTATCTTCAATTAAATAAAACAACTGCATCTTTTTCTTTTTCTATTTTACTTTCTATCTTTAATTTTTATCATATAAACTTAATAACCTTCTTTAGTTGCTAATTCATATGAAATTATTCTATTAAATACTCATTATAGTAGTGTTTTTCTGAAAATAATGAAATTAATATATTTAAAATATTTTTTATCTTTTAGATATATAGATGTTTGCCACATGTTTAGAGGAAATGTCTATAAAGAAAATTCCTATTTTTTCAATTAATATGCAGCTGTGATATATAAAACTAGGGAACTAGCAAAAATCTACTTATATTATAATATTCTTATCATGTAGGTGTGTGACTAGGAGACTTGGCAGCCAAGTTTCACCCAGAATCATTCACCTACACACCTTGACAACAACTATGGTTTTGAAGTTTAGTCTGTTAAAGGGAATCTAGCAAATTGGTTCTGGATTGAATATGCATTGACATTATATTGCATGTCATACACGTTTTAGAGTGTGTAGGGCTAATTAATTACAAGGAATGAGGAGTGTTTAGTTTATAATATTTTGAAATAGTCACAACAGGGCTGATGTAGGGCTAATTAATGTTCTCTTGTAGAGTTTTTTCCTTGGATGGATTGTGGGTTCGTGGCCATTATTTTCCGCCCTCTTTGTCAGCTTTATACTTGGCACTGCATATTCAATCAATGTAAGATTATTTTCTTTCCTTGGGTAAAAGTTGTTATATGTATACATTTCATTCACTTATTACTCTCAATTACATTTTTATTTATTTTAAAGTTTTGTTGGTGAGATGACTCCAATTATGGATTTTTGTTTGCAATAAACAACAATATGATTATTCAACTAAAAGAATTCCGGGAGAAACGGGTAAAAACTGCTGTTCAAAATCTTCTCCAAGGAGAAAAGAATTTATTCTTCTCAATATCAATTGTTCCCCTATTCTAGGGATGTTTTCATTAGGACTAGAACACTTCTAGGCAGCAAAAGATCCATTTGCCTCGATAAATTCAATCTATAAGAATGGAAGAGTACATCTATGAACGTCCATCCTTTGGTAGGGTCGCCATCACTAATATGCTTATTACATCTACCGCAGTGTGTAAGGCTATTTTCTCTTGTCCCAGGTATTCAACATCCGAGGAAGACTGTATGAGGTGGTTAGTGAGTTGTGATGGCTTGCTTGAAGCAAGTTTCTCTGTTAAGGGTTTGTTTGAAAGGATTGGATATGTATTTGTTTTAAAAACTATTAATGGGGAACACTTTGCTGTTCTTGAATCTGGCAAGAAATTTGAAATTGAGCATGCTGATCTTACCAATGTTCAGAGAACCAGACCGGGTATCGACTTGGAAAGGGAGAGTTTTGGCCAGTTTTACCCAATTTGGTTTTGGGGTATGACTGAATTGGCTAGGGCCTAGGTTACGATTCAACCGGTCCGACTAGCCAGTTTGGTCCGGTTTTCTAAACATTGGATCTTACTAGTCTTTGTCTTGCTGAATTAGGAGGTAATCCGAGAGTTGTTCAAGACGAAAACTGAAGTTGAAGCAAAGGTGGATGTTCTTGATGCTAGCCATTGGCCTACCAATTAAAGAGAAACTATAGAGAAGCAATATAGAAGTCTGAAGTAGTTTGTTATTTCATGTTTTGTGTTTGTTTATGTTGTATTCTGTCCTAGTCTTCTTTGTATTAGTAGAAATGACTGATTGCAGTTTTAGTTGAATTCCTTGTGAAGAGAAAGAAGAAGAAGATGAAGAGTTTCAGCAGTAGAGAGAAGAGAGGAGAAGAAAAAGAGTGGGATGTCAACCAGAATTGAATTAGTTCTGGCCGCCAACCCCTCTTTGTATTATATACTCAAATTAAAAGAATAAGAGATTAAAAGAATGCCCTTAGTAGGGCGGCTACTTAAGTAGCTAAACAGTCACAACTTAAAAAAACATAAACTAATGGGCCTAAAGCCCAATAACTTCCTAACTTAACAACTTAAAAATAAAAGACAAATAACTGGGCCCAATAACTAGAAATCGGCCCAACTCAACACACCCCTTCAAGTTTGGAGTAAATGTCACACATTGTCAACTTGCATAGGTCATGCTCCAGCTTGTTCCTTGCAACACCTTTTGTGAGAACATCGGCAAGTTGCAAATTAGAAGCAATGAATGGGAGACAAACGTCCCTAGAATTCACCCTTTCTCTGATTAAATGTCTATCCACTTCAATGTGCTTTGTCCGGTCATGCTGAACTGGGTTATGGGCAATGTTAATTGCTGCCTAATTATCACAGTACAACATCATAGGTTCTTCTGCCTTTACACCAATCTCTCTAACAAGGAACGGATCCAGAGAAGTTTTGATACTCCATGTGACATGGCCCTGTATTCAGCTTTTACACTTGATCTTGCCACCACTGTCTGTTTCTTACTTTTCCACGAGACTAGGTTACCCCCAACAAGGGTGTAGACTCCTGAAGTAGATCTGTCGTCAAGGCATCCTACCCAATCAGCATCTGTATAAACCTCTAGCTTCAACTATCCATGATCAGCAAATAGTATGCCTCTGCCTAGGTGTCCCTTCAGATATGCAAGAATCTTGCCAACAGCCTCCCAATGCTGGACTCGTGGGGCATGCATGTATTGACTCACCATACCCACTGCATAGGAGATGTCTAGTCTTGTCATACACAAATACAACAACTGCCTCACAAGTCTAATATTTTCCAATGTCCTTTACCAGCTCACCTTCTGATGCATTAATTCTGTGATTTTGGTAAATAGGAGTACTAATTGCCTTTGTTCCAAGCTTTCCTGTTTCTTGTAGAAGATCTAGAACATACTTCCTTTGAGAAATAAATATTCCATGTTTTGATCTTGCAACTTCAACGCCCAAGAAGTACTTAAGCTCTCCAAGATCTTTAATTTCAAATTCCCTGTGTAGATTCTTCATCAAACTGTCAATCTCACTTAGGTCATTTCCTGTGACAACAATATCATCCACATAAACAATTAGGATTGACACCAAGGATCCCTTTTGCTTCACAAACAAGGTATGGTCAGATTGAGTCTGAGTGTAGCCAATGAAGGGAGTGAGAGATCCATCAGATGGACGCCCAAAACTTGCGGAATAGGGTGGGCGAATTTCAAAAATTTTCTCCCTTCAACTGGGAATCGTATTCCCTATTTTAGAAAAATCATATTTTTCAAGGATCAATCTTGAACCATAAACCGAACCAGATTTGAAACGAAACAGTAGGAGAGGGATATACCTGATACAGAGAAATAGTATCTCTCAATGGAGGTGTTCACGCCCAAAG